ATGAAGGAGTTGCCGATGTCTTACGAGGGATTAAAATCTCTTAAGATACTAGAGATTGTCATTGTCTCAATCACATTATGCTGAGGCTAACTTAAGAAATTTAAGGCGTATGACGACAATCCGGTTAAAACACCAGTAGATCTAAGTCTACACTTAGCCAAAAACATTGGCGAACCCATATTTCAATTAGAATACTCACACTTTATAGGCAGCTTGATATGTATCACTAAATGTGCACGTTCAGATATAGCATACAAGTCAACAAGTTAAGTAGATTTACAAGTAATCTAGGAAATGACCATTGGAAGGAATTAAAGAGGGTTCTTAAACACTTAAAACACACGATAGATTATGGATTACATTATTCTAAATATCACGCAGTGTTAGAAGGATATACCAATGCAAATTGGATATCTTACACAAATGATTCATAATCTACAAGTGGGTTATATTTTTACCATTGGAGGTAGAGCTGTGAACTGAAAATTCTCTAAGTAAGCTTGTTTAGCTCAATCTACGATGAAATCTGAGTTTATTGCCTTAGATAAAACTGGAGAAGAAGCAAAATGGCTTCGTAATTTTCTCGAAGATATTCCATATTGGGAAAAGTCAATACATGATATTAACATACATTGTGATAGTCAGTCGTCTATATGGCACAAAATAGTATATCTAGAGCTTGTTTGGTAGAGATTAAAATTGATTAAAATTGAAAAATTAGTCGTTATTGTTGAATTTTATTAGACGAGAGTGACCCAATTACGGCTATATTTTCAATTTTAATTGGATTTTAATTCCTCACAAACAAACTCATAATGGAAAATCTCGACATATTCGCCAGAGACACAATATCATTAAACAACTAATATCGAATGTATAATAACAGTTAACTATGTTAAATTGAAGAAAAACATATATGATCCTTTGACGAAAGGATTACAAAGAGAAATGTGCCTAAAGCCTATTGAATAGAATCACCATAGTGGTAACTCAATCTTGTTAATTCGAGATCCCAAGATCTTTGTTCAAGGGACAACTAACTTATGAACGATTTGGAAGAGCATTTATTCTCATTCCTATAGAATTAAAAGTGCTAGATTGTTAAGTGTATAAAGATAAGTTACACTTTTAATGATTCCTATATTTTGGAAGTAGTCAAGAGAAGTGTGATACGATACTATAGGAAATCACCTATGTAAGTGTGAAGTGGGGCCACTTTTACAATAATTGAGGCAAAATTCTAGTATTTTTAACACTATTTCGAAGTACTCCCAACCTAGTTTATTGCATTCCTAACCATATGCGAAATGGCCAACCCTAACAAAAGTTCCCACTCGTCGAAATAGGTCGTTCCAAAATATATAAATGTTTTTCTTCTTATTTTTATCTCAATTTTCGGGGTTATCGCTATATATCAAACGAAATCAAAATCCCGTATGCTTCACATCATTTTGAAGTACTCACGGTCTAGTTTATTGCATTCCTAACTGCGTACGAAACGACCAATCGTAACACAAATTACCACTCGTCGAAATATGCATTTTCAACCGTAGAAAATATTGCATTTTTGTATTCATATTTTGACGAGTGCTAACTTTTGCTATAGTTGGCCGTTTCGCACGTGGTTAGGAATGCAATAAAGTAGGTTGTGAGTACTTCGAAATGGTATTAAAAAATACGAGATTTCGATTTCGTTTGACATCCCGTGATAATCCCGAAATTTGAGATAAAAATAAGAAAAAAACATTTATATATTTTGGAACGACCTATTTCGACGAGCGGTAACTTTTGCTACGATTGGCCGTTTCGCACGCGATTATGAATGAAATAAACTAGGCTGTGAGTACTTTGAAATTGTTTTAAGAATACGAGATTTCGATTTCGTTTGACATCTCGTGATAACCCCAAAAATTGACATAAAAATAAGAAAAAAATATTTATATATTTTGGAACGATCTATTTCGACGCGTGGAAACTTTTGCTACGGTTGGCCGTTTCGTACGCGGTTAAGAATGCGATAAACTAAATCGTGGGTACTTCGAAATGATATTAAGGATGTAATATTTCGATTTCGTTTAACATTCACGTAATAATTTGGAAATTTAAGACAATAAATAAGGAAAAAATGGAAGGGGTGGCTGTGTTGGGTTGTGGTTGGGTGGGTGGGTGGATAAAAGGGGGTGGTTGGTGTGTCAGGAATTGTCCCAGGAAATAATGCTCACGATCCCTCTATTTTCCCACTTTCATTTGCTACGTTAGTCTAAGCCCCTGTTTGCCCCCCATTAATTTAAATTTTTGGGGGTAGATAATTTTTAGAATAGTGATTGATGGGAGATGTGTGGTTGAAAAGTTTTTGATTTGTGTGTATTATTATTTTATTTGATGAATGNCTACAGTTGGCCGTTTCGCACGCGGTTAAGAATGAGATAAACTAGATCGTGAGTACTTTGAAATGGTGTTAAGGATATAATATTTCGACTTCACTTAACATTCATGTAATAACTTCGAAATTTGAGTCAATAAATAAAGAAAATGCCAAAAGGGGAAGGGGTGGCGTTGTGGGTGGGTGGGTGGGTGCGTGGGTAAAGGGGGCGCTTGTCAGGACATAAGAATCTTGCAGTGCCACATCCCATTTTTTGAAATTCTGTACGTGTTCTGTGAAAAATTTACTGTACGTATAGCATTACTCTAAACATAATTTCCTTTCCGAAATTCTGCATCAAAACCTTGGTTTTATTTTCACAAAGAGGAGTACAAAAGCAATCTTTTCATTCGTTGTTCAAATTTATTTGGTGAGTAAATTTATTTGGACCTCTATTCTAACTTATTTATTGACTAATTAAGTGGATATATATACCTAATTTATGTGTAATTTTTAGAGAATACTATTTTATAGGCAGTAATATTAATATTATCATGCCAACATGGATTTCTCCCTTTATAATTGGCATATGGTAAAAAATCGACATTTCTCATATAAACATTTTTTTCTTAATGCAATATATTTGCACTCACTCTACCACGGTGTACTAAGATGAGATTTGATGCAATATATGATTGTCGAGGTTATTTTGACAGATAGTTTTCTCAACATTGACGGATAGTTTTCTCGTCACTTTGTTATCTAAATCCTCATACAAGATAATATGAATTGGAAATTCGAAGGATAATTCCATAGTTGTCGGACTCAACACAGATACAAACCTAGACAATGCAGCGGGTCAATGGATTAGTGGTTCAACCGGCGGGTCATTGCATAAAAATCTACAAAAAAATATGAAGTATAAATCTTTTTTTAGGGGTAAAATTAAAATTTTTAATTTATTTTTCATTAATTATTCAGGTCTATAAAATAAAGTAAAAAATGTTGGACCAAAGTTTTTTAAAAGAATATTTTTATAAAACATAGAAATGATTCATTAAATAGATATAAATTATTGTATATAAGTAATACTAAAACACTTTATGTTCAAGTGGTGAGAAACTCATTATTCCCAAAAAAATTGTAAGAGGGTTTTAAAACCCAATCAAACCGGTCAACCGGGCCGGGTAAATTGTCGGTTAACTCGGTCAAAGCCCGATTTTGATCGAGTCAAGTACATTTTTATCAAATTAATCTGTCCGACCCAATCAAGGGTCTGGGCCGCCGATTTTTCGTTCCGATTGGCTGGGCCAGGTTTTATAAATATAGATAATTCATTTAGGCCGTTGTTTGATTTCATTATTTCTAAAATACATTTTTCTTTCTTATTTTGAACCAACATTTTTCAATAAAATAATATTACACGCAATTCAAAACTTTTTCTTATTTTTAACTACACATTTTCCATCAAAATACTATTTCAAAATGCATTTTGATTAAAAAAAAAAAAGGACTCAAACATGCTCTAGATGTATTTACTGATCAAATTGATTAATCAAATATTATGGCTCTGTCTGGTGAGGCTGTTAATTACAATTAGAGATGTTAGGCCGCAATTTTTGACTTCCTTGGTGAGAGAGTGGACCCCAATTTTCTTAAGCAACGGTCAAAAAATCACTTTTCTCTCAAATTTTAAGCTGGCATAGACACAGCCTATATATCGCTAATGCTCCAACTCTGATTGATGTCCCCAAAAGGAGAATCCATTGGCAATATGTATATGACACGCTCAAAGTGTGATGACATTTGCTTTCAAGAAAAACCTTAGAAATGGAGCAAATAGTAAATCAATCATATTAAGAAGGCATATACTTGCTGAGAGCACCTGACCCACAGGCACTCCCTCCCCAATAGGGGGCGCCACATGTACATTATAGATACCATTATGTGTACCATAATGTACATGTAGCATTATTCTTGTATGATATCAACAGATGCAATCAACCAGCCAACGGTAAAAACTAAGAACATCTTCAAGAGATTCTATTTTTTAAAAGAATATTATATAATTTAAAGAGTATCTATAAATTTAGAAAATAAAATTTTTTAAGTAATCTAACAGACACATTATGCTTTAACACTTAATTTTACTAGTGCCATAAATTATTTATTGTTTTTTCTTATCTTTTAATTTTATTAGCTTTACTCTAAATTATGATACTATTATTTTCCCCTATTGAAAATTGAATTAAATTATAGATAACGCGTTTGACCCTCCAAAACTCACCATAAATTAGAATATTAATTTAAATAGTCTCTTGAAGCATAACTTTAATGATTGACTCTTTGAAATAGAAAACATCTTATGTTTAAAGGATTTATTGAGAATGCTCAACATCTTCACCATCCTCTTCAACCTCTCATCATTCAAAAATAGAGAGTTCCATTGGAGCAATATAACAAACAGTTGGAGTGCACTACATAATATACTTTTAACAGGTCAAAAAAATTCGGATTTCAACCCGAGAAGGGAGCGCACATTCTCTATTTACAGCTCTATGCAATACATAGAATAGTAAATATCTCCATTCTTGGAATGGACACGAAATATCGGCCTATTTGGAGGCCGACAAAAATATCACGTTCTTACCAAACCCGGTGTCCAGTTTCTCCAATCTAACTTTCCAATTGATCTGTTTCTCATGACTAAATCTCTAAGATCAAAACTCTTTTTCCGGCTGTTCTCCTGTTTGCCTGGTTCTGATTCCTCGGCTTCTTCCTTCATGCTTCCAGTTTCTTTGTCACCTCCGGGTACAAATTCATCTTGAGGTGATGCAGCATCAATGATGCTTCCAAGCATCTCAACTATCTCGCTCATTTTTGGTCGTGATTTAGGATGCTTCATTAGGCATTTGTTTGCTAGGGATGCAAGTTTTAGAGCTGATTTCATGTCAATCTGTTCTTCAAGTCTCGGGTCTAAAATCATGTGAAATTTTTTTGGATCCGAAACATATGGCCTTACCCATTCCAAGAGTTTCTGCTCGCCTCGTGGCAAATTTCTCTCGAGCACTCGTCTGCCCGTAATGAGTTCATAGAGAACTACCCCAAAGCTCCATACATCGCTTTTGGCAGTGAGCCTACCAGTGTGGACATATTCAGGAGCTGCATAACCCACTGTGCCAACAACCTAAAGAAAAAAATTTAAGAATAGAGTCGAGATATTAGGTAGTGTATAGAGTAAGATATAACGCAATAGAAACACACACGAGTGAACACCTAGATTTATAGTGGTTTACCCTCAGTAACTACTACAGATATTTCACTATAATGAATAAGGATAATTACAATAGTGATCTCACATCTCAGACTACCTATCTTTCATAAAAAAGCCCCCACTAAAAAATCCTTCATATAGAAGGAATATTATAGCTATTTGATAAATAAAAACTGCCTAAGGGATCCAAATATACCACATGATAAGGCTCCACACAATCTAACATGCAAAAGAACAGCCCATCGATTGAGCCCATTTTGGGGGAAATGTATATTTGAATAGTGATTTTTTTGGAGAACGTGTGGTTAAAAAGTAAGAAAAAGTTTTCGATTTACGTGTAAAATTATTTTATTAAAGAATATGTGGTTGAAAGTGAGTTTTGAAAAAATGGGGCTCAAACAAGGGGCTGAATGGGACGTGTCAAATTTTGAATCAAGTGGAATTTGAAGAGCACAAAATTTAATGATGCCCAGAAAAAACGAAATGGAACTCACTGATGTTGAAACATGACCTAGTCCAGCAGTTGGACCCTGCCTAGCCAATCCGAAATCTGAAAGTTTTGCATTGAAGTCTTCATCCAAAAGGATGTTTGAAGTTTTGAAGTCTCTAAATATTAGCTGAACAAAGGAGAAAAGCATATCAAATTGTAATCGACATCAAATATCAAGAGAAATAATCCAACAAGGAACAAGTTTAAAGCAGAAAGTACAACAGGAGACTAGCACTTACACTGGAGATTCTATTTAGCCTAAGTTTGATACAAGAATTTGATAATAGTTAAAGTAACATGAGGATTCGGGTCGAATCAAGACTTAGGGCTGTTTCGTTCAATAATTAATGGGCCAGAGCATGATTACACCAAATGATAATTTTCATGAAAGTTTAAGATTTGGTCAACTGCACGTTAGGCCTGAAAGTTTGGGGTTTGGTCCCAGATGTTGGGGAACCAAATGATTTATAAATTTTGACATATTTGATAAAGAATACTCTATATGATACAAGTCTACATAGCAAACATTAACGACTTCAATATTTAATCAAAATGTAACAGGGGAAGTTATAAACTAACAACACTACTCATGATAAATTGAAGTTTGCGAATCGAAAATATGAATGAAAGCATGAGCACCTGAAATTCCATTTCTTCATGAAGGTACGCTAAACCCCGAGCTGCATCTTGGGCAATCTTTAGTCTCAACAGCCATGGTAGAGGAGATGCTGATCGGGTCAATAAATGGTCCTCCAAGCTTTTATTACACATTAGCTCGTACACCAAAAGCCGTTGGATTCCCCTTTCGTCATCTTCTGCGCAATATCCTACTAACTTAACAAGATTTGGGTGCTTAACCACACCCAAAAAATTCACTTCATTAATCCACTCTTTGTGCCCCTGATTACTAGAATGCAAAAACATGAAGACGTATGAGATAATCTCGAATAAAATTAACATCACTAAAGCATAAGAAGTAAATTTCCCATAATGTCACAAAAAAGTCAATCATAAATATCAGAAAAGCTTAAGTCTTGAATTGATTGGTTGATCTGTAACATCAAAATTTTGAATATGTAGTCCCTCTTCTAGAAAAGTTGTTCAACCTATAAAAAAAGTCATCTAAGCAACAAATGTTGAAAAAGAAATGCTGATAGAGAAATATATCCAAATAAACACGAAAAATAAAAAAACCAGGAGAGTTTCTTGATTGAACCAAACTACATATCCCGAAAATGCAATAAGGTTCAAAGCAATTGAAATGAATCTTCCAACATGTAGTGAAAAAACTAATTCCGATAGTAGATCTAACAATGAAGTAACAAAGTGGCCGAAAACGATTATTCCTTCATATCAGTAAAATAAAAGCGCTGAAAATTTCAATGAACACTTTTATAGGTAAATTTCCAAGTAATTCTTAGCATAGAATACCAATATGAACAAAAGGGCATGCCTGGAATCCATTGCGATTCAACTGCTTGATAGCAACTACCATCTCGGATTCAGAACCTGAAATGTAGTCCGAAACCTTAACAACGCCCCGATACACGCACCCGAACCCGCCTTCGCCGATCATGAGGTTCCGGGTAAACCCTCTTGTAGCCGATTTCAGCTCGGAAAACGTAAAAACCCGCAAATCATTGGCCCGGCGCTGCGTCAAGAACTCGTGGAACCCAAACGAATCAGCCCAGTCCCTCCTGGACTCCGAATCAAACGCTGACCGGCGCGTATCGACGTTACTCGACGCAATACTGAGGGACCGGACCCAGGAAACCTTCGACGGCGCACGTGAAACGGCGCCTTCTTGTTCTTCTTCCTCGTCTGGCCTTCTCTCGCTGTTAGTGAAATGAAAGCATTTCATTTTCTGTATTTTTCAAAGAAAAAAGAATCGTGGGATTTGTTGAGCATCCGTTTTCTTGAAATAGGTATGAAGTAGAAGATAAAGAAGAGTCAAAGACATGCGATTGGTTTGAAGAGATCAAGAAACACTTGGATTTTCATATATAATATTGGGTTAAGTTAATTAGGTGAAATCTAATAATTAAGTAAAGTTTTTATAATTCGAGAGGAGGTTTTTGGTAGGATTTTGATGTCTTGATGCGAGAAAGACGGAGAGAGGACCACGAGGAAGACTGGCTGCTTCAAACTTGAGAGAGAGAGAGAGAGAGCAGTCAGCAACGTACCGTATAGAGAAGACAAATAAGGGATTGAAAGTTGCAGTAAATAATCAACCATAAGCTTATGTTTGGCTCATTACTATAAACTATTTATAAAAACACACTTTTCATCTATGTATTTGGAGGGGTTTACAAATGTTACTCATTTACTTCTCACCTTATAATATAAACCATTTATAAACACATGCCTAATATGAAAGTGAAAGGATAAGATTTTGCTACTTTACTTCTCTTTGAAGCATAAAAAGAATCTGCACTTGAACTAGCTTGTTTTTGTTTCGTTTTGATTTATCACTTATCGTAAATTATTTGGTTTTTACAGATAAAATTCTCTTTGATATTGTATTTAATTTTTTTTTTGATCAGTATTGGATTATGCCCACCCTGATGTGTCAATCAAAAATTAAAATTGAACTTGGGAATACAAGGAAAAACTAAGAGGAAGGAATGTAGTAATTCCTCCATATATTGGTATGTCTAAAATCTATTTTGGTAATAAAATATTCCAACTGTTTAAGTTATTAGCAATTTCATCTTACATTATGATTTTTATCAATTTAACTAGTGTTGTGGAATTTTCCATCTTTCAAGAAGTCGATTATGGAATCTAATGGAAATAATAAATTGCAATAACTATTCAGAATAATAAAAATGCAGAAAGAAAAACGTATCGACTGATCTAGTTGTGACAGCACGGTCTCCTAAAGTAAAATCGTCCGTAGTTAACTATCGCGACCTCTTTGGACAATCACTCACAGGATTCAACAATCAAACCATTTGTTCATCAATTACAAATGATTTTCAGAACCCTCAAGTTATACTCCAAAATAATATCTCGAAATATAGAATAAAATAATATGCGAATTTTTCAAAGGTTTAGTAGTAGAAGAATATTTTTTGTGTCTTTTCCAAGAAAGTATGGGATTTATATAGTTCCAGAATTGATAACTTCCACCAATGAGGTTGTGTTGAATGAAATGTAACAATGGTTGTTGCAGTAAAAATATTGTAACCCTCCAACTACCATATTTCTTTTTATGATTGTAATAGAAAAAATAAAATTTTCATTTTCGCTGTTGTTTTGCCTTCGCAATGGGAGAGATATTTTGATGGTGTTGAGCAACGCGGATGTATTCCTTGGATGTCTTACCATAACCATGCTCCAGACAATCACAATATAGCTCAATTATGATCGAGGAAGGACATACCAATTCTAGTGTGAAGACCAAACTGCCATAAAAATTGATGAAATGTTGTAGTTTGCTTTTTATTGATTAATAAAAGATCATATGTTTCGAATAAGAATAATATATAAGCTGTTACATGCTATAAAATTAATATAAATAGTTACTAATAATTGGAACAATCGAATAAGATAAACTTGATAAGACAAGTTTGCATGGCTATCTCTCTAGGCTAAATTTAAGGAGGTGTTAGGTAAAGGTCAATTGCCTTTTGGAGAACGAATTTCTTATTTTTGGTTTTTTCGACTTATATGAACTGTCATTTTCTTCTACAATATGCACCTTGTCTAAGCCGAGGTTCCCAAAATAGGTGTCATCGAAAACTATAAAATAATGTGTGGAGAGTAATCAGTTTGGCCATTAATAAGTGAAATATGGTATCTGAAGTAAATAGTCATACGATATTTATAGATTTTTTTGGGTCATTAATCGCTGTGATAGGTAATAGCTCGACTGTTGAATGAAACTAATCACATTTTGTAACTTCATCGACCAAGTCAATGAATTATTGGACGTCATGGAATACCTCCACCACATAATATTTATACACATCTCAATTGGTAACCACTTTGAGAAACAATTGTTGGATCGATTGCTAAAGTGGAACCAACCAGTACCATTCATATTTTCTATAATAAAGAACATGAATCAAAGACTATTTAATAAGTATTTTCAAATTCACATTTCCATGAAAATGGTTTAATTATTGTAGAAACTCCATATAGACAATATGCATGCTATATAGTTCCTTCTAACATAAAACTGCCTCCAATTATTACCATCAAGGTTGAATTTTTCTTTCTAAAAACTCAAGAAAATTCGACATTTTGATTTCAATTCTTATGCAAATGTTTTTAATTATTCGATTGTCATCATTTTCATCTCCATTTGTTTGCCGTTGTTTAATGAATGTCCAACTCTTTAAGGCTCTATTTGATAGGCATTATTTTTCAGGGAA